CCATCAATTCCACTCAAGGGTTCTTCTGTCTTTCAGAAAGGTTTATTTATTTTATGAATCACACATACACACTCCCCCTTGACAGGATTGCACTGCCTTGACCCACCTCCTAGACTTCCTGTCAGCTAAGGCCATGGGCACACCCACAGGTATAGCTGGCATGTTCAGGTCACTCCGGGATCCTATGAACCTTGTCCCATGGCTCCAGTATCACCCTGCAATGCCCTGTTGCCTCACCATCACGCTGGGCCAGATGCCAGGTAAGCTGATAAGAGTCACTGCGTGGTCGGAGGACAGTGTTAAATTCTGGACTGTCTTCACCGACAGTCACAAAAGCATTTTTTTTTTTTACCCAGACAGGATCTGAGAAAAAGAGGGGCTAAGTAACTTGACCAGAGAAATGGTGACCTTGCAATTGGAACCCAGGCCATCTCTCTCCAGAACCGGAGCTAGACTGCCTTGATAAGTGTCTGTCGTTCATGACAAAGACCTTAGCACATCCCGTTCAGCTGGTGTGTTATTACTTCTATTAAAGGCAAAGGAATTTTTAAAGAATGCCATCAATTCCACTCAAGGGTTCTTCTGTCTTTCAGAAAGGTTTATTTATTTTATGAATCACACATACACACTCCCCCTTGACAGGATTGCACTGCCTTGACCCACCTCCTAGACTTCCTGTCAGCTAAGGCCATGGGCACACCCACAGGTATAGCTGGCATGTTCAGGTCACTCCGGGATCCTATGAACCTTGTCCCATGGCTCCAGTATCACCCTGCAATGCCCTGTTGCCTCACCATCACGCTGGGCCAGATGCCAGGTAAGCTGATAAGAGTCACTGCGTGGTCGGAGGACAGTGTTAAATTCTGGACTGTCTTCACCGACAGTCACAAAAGCATTTTTTTTTTTTTTTGAGAGGTTTTTGCCATAGGGCGCGTGCACTCGCCAGTCAGACAGAGAGAGACAGAGAGACAGAAAGCGAGAAATCACCCCCCAGGAGGGATGGCCACGCTACAATCCCTTCTCCTCCATTCTCCTCTCGGGATCTTGGGCACGCATGCACATACGCCCAGTGTGAGTTTTAAGCCACCGGGTCCGGGACGCGAACCGCGGTCGACTACATGGGAGTCCAGTGACATAGCCATTACGCTAACTGCTGGTCCCCACAAAAGCATTTATGGAGTATCTACTGCATACCAGCTCTCCGCTGAGCACAAGTGACATTGGGGCAAAGTAAAGCTATCAGTGTCCAAAAAAAGTATTATCTTGGAGCTTTGGCAATGTATGGTTTGCTAAATGTCTCAGAAACAACCATTTCCTTTACAAAATGCAGTTCTGGGAAGACCATGAGGCTTTCCACAGTATTCTCAGAGACAGGATTTGAAAGCCCAGTGATGAAACTCAAGGATCACGCCTAAAGTCTCAGTTAAGAACAGAGGTCCCCCAGGTGACTCAAGTGATTAGCATGAATGGGCATTTCTATGTGGATCCTGACTACCTGCTAAACGTGTTGCACTGGCCGGGAACGCCCATGGCATGTTTAGGGGGCTCTTCTTGGAGATCTCCTCTATAGCTGGGCTCTTCTCCATGCTGGGTTTCCTGGAAGCCCTGAAGGTATCATTCTGTTGGGTTGGTTCCTGGCTCTCAGGCATGGAGGGGCTTTCTGCAGTTGTGATTATCCTTACCCCACCCTGTCCTGGATCTGGACTGTGATAGTCATGCTGCACTGTGGGGCTGGGAGGTTGGGAGGGAAAGGAGGATCAGAGGGCTGGAGAAAGAATGGAGAAAGAACTGCAAGTATGACCTGAATGGCACTGGCTAAAGTCGTGTCTGAATATGGCTCAAATTATGGAAAAGCTACCAAGAGAAAGCATGTCTTTAAGGCAGGATGTTCACATTTTTCTTCCTCACTTTTCTGACATGAGAAGTCATTTGAGAAGGGTCCCTATGCAGACTTAGATGACCTGAGCTGGGTGGAGTTTCTTGGTGGCTCCCAGAACCTGGTCCCAGCATCTGAGTGTGAAGAGCACCTACCTAGGAAGTGCCCCGGGAATCATTAAGCACCAGACCCAGGGAAAATCACCCTCATTTAAGATAAGAAATGAATTTCCACATGTTTCTTATCCTGGCTGTTCCAGGGACAAAAGCAGGCGTGAAAGTGGCTTATGCAGTGGCTGATGGGAGACAGTCTTAAATCTGGGAAGAGCATTTCCCTTTAAGCAGGAACCAGAGCACTATCGGCTTTGATAACTAGTTCAGTCAGAGCGTTAGCATTTCCGGTCTTCCCCACTGAGAACCAAGAGGGTGAACAAGAGGGTACCTGAAGCAGCCCACAGTGCTGCTTGATTTGGGGTTTCTAAATTCTCTGCCATCAACATTCAATCGTAACGGGGTCCAGGCGGTGGCACAGTGATAATACACAATGCTCTGTGAGTATGATCCACATGGGGAGGTTCCTGGTTCACGTCCAGAGCCCTCCTTGAGTATGTCAGCACTCGCATGCTCCTGATCCAGGGATGGCTGAGGCTAGGGCTGGATTTCAGCACAGAGACTCTGTTAGGGATGCACTCTCTCTCTCCCTTCCTCACATGCACACACACTTGTGGTGTTAATAAATAAACTTAAAAAAAATTCTACTTTAGGAGACTGGCAGATGGTGTAATGATTATGTCGTTGGACTCCTGTGTAATCAACCGCGGTTTGAGTCCCGGACCTGGTGGCTTAAAATTCATGCCAGGCGCGTGTGCATGCATGCACATAGTCCTGATGGGAGAATGGAGGAGAAGGGACTGTGGCGTGACCATCGCCTTAGGGGGTGATTTCTCGCTTTCTGTCTCTGTCTCTATAGGAGCACATACATCCTATAGCAAATAGCTCTCTAAAATAAGTAAATAAATAAATAAATAACAATCCAACCTTAAGAGCTTGCCTTACTATTATTGAAGGTCTTTTTCTTGGTCAAAATGCTCCTTAGTTCTAATGGGCAGGAGAGCCAGAAGTCCAGCGTTAAAGCACCATCCACTCTCAGGGGGCACGCTGTGCGTTTTGCACTGAACCATTGGCTTTTGTGCCTTCGATGTTTAAGTTACATTTTTACATTTTGAGGTCTGGACTTGTTAAAATGGTAATGATTTATCATAAATTCTATGGATTAAAGCAGATTTCTGCAAACTATGGTCTAATCACCTATTTTTTTAAATGTCGTAAAGTGTTATTGGAACACAGCTGTGCACATTCACTTATTTCTCATCTGTCTGCTTGCCTGCTACAATGGCTGAGCTGAAGAAATGACAGAGACCAATGGGCCTGCAAAGTCTAAAATATTTAATATCTGGTACTCTATAGTAAAAATTGGCCAGCCCCTAGATTCCAGAAGTTTTAGAAAGTTTATGTAGGTCAAAGGGCAGTGATGAAAGAATAAAATGTTGGGACAGGTTTAAACATATATAGATGCAAAACTGAAAATAATACCAAGTTCTGGTGCAAATAAGAAAAGAACTTTACGACAAGTTTTAAACCTCAAGTGCCAATATATATCTACATCTCTCGCCTCTTTTCCCCAAAATATCAACAGTTTCCCAGAATGCCTTGTAAGACTAGTGTACCCTTGACTCCAAAAATCTGACAAGGAAAATATAAAAGATAAAACTGCAGACCAATTTCACATAAGAGTTTAGAGGGAAAGCCACTTGGTGCCCGTTACAATTTTTTAATGTAGTCAATCAGGAACTTTTTAATGTATTTTACGTAGTAACTTGGCAAAAGTCAACTAATACCTAAATTGCCCACAAATAATCAGAAGAAACTATATTTGATTTAAATTATTATTACATTATATTATTAATGAATATAGTTCAATTATATTTAAATAATACATTGAATAAGTTAATATACTTCATTTTACACTTAATGCCTACTTTCTGGGCAAGTAGTGATCTTTGTATTAGTCAGTCTCTGAACTGAATTGCAGGTCTGGGCTAGTCTCAGCTCTAACCATGGCTGCTTGTGTAGCACAACCAGATCATTGACTCTGTAGGGCTTTAGGTAAAATGAAAAAGCTACACTAAGTCATCTTTGAATCTCAATTTGCAGGTTTTAATTTAATTTAATTTGATGAAGGTTTCAAGCATTAGGCATGTGTGCTCTCCAGAGAGAAAGATAGTGAGAGGGAAAGTGATAAATCACACCCTAGAGGGGATGGCCACGCCACAATCCCTTCTCCTTCATTCTCCTTGTGGGATTTTTAGACATGCACACACACATGCCTAGCATCAATTTCAAGCCACCAGATCCAGGACTTGAACTGCTGTCAGCCATGTGGGAGTCCAGTACCTTAACCACCATGCCACCTGCTGGCACATTCAGGTTTTAATTAAGGACACACAGGTAGCTAGTCCTTATTCTGGTTGTTTTGCTAGCCCTATAATTTCAATGGAATCTAAGCAACAGAGAGAAAAATGCCTCCGAGAGGCAGTGCACTGTACACATGTTCGCTTTCTCATTTTGACTGAAAAAGTGCCACGCAACTCGGATCTGTGTACTTGGAGGAAGGACCGTACAGGCCCCACCAAGAGTGAGAACAATGGGTTGTGAGAAGAAGAAAAGAGGCTTCCACTGCAGGCCTTTTTTCTTCTCAGGTCTTTTCAGCTTCACAAAAGGAGACATACTTTCCATATAATTGCTAAACATGTTTGCTTATTAAATTATTCTTTAATTAGTTAATGATTTTAGCCATGCTTTGCTCTTTGGATATTCATTTTGTGTAATAAAATAATTATAGATAATTAAACTATCTCAAGCCTTTTTCTTTCCCCCAGCAAACATGCTGGGTATCCAAAAATGACAACAAGTTGTAAATTAATCTGGAAAACAAAGCATGACAGATGAATGATTTGGTTGGAATTAATTAGGCACTAATTATATACTGGAACTAGATGAAGAATGAGACTCATTAAAAAAATAAAACGTGATTCTGAAAAGATGCACAGTACCGACGTCCTTACCTTCTGTGACGATGGAGTTGTTCCTTATCCAAGTCAGGGCCTTAGAGCAATCCTCTTCATCGTTGAGAGTGAAATGATTGCATGGAACTTTCCCGGTGTAGCGCAGCTTACTGGTGTTTGGAACCTCTTTGTTTGTCGGGTGCTGACTAATATCAGCACCGGTCGGGCATGGGACCTGAGGTATGTGACAGAGAAATGTTTATTGCAGTGGCATAGTGAAGCACTGCTGCAGGGTGTTTTGGTTGATTTTGTTTCTTTGTTTTACAAAAAGGAAACACAGCAATATCCAATGTAGATCTGTCTCTCTGTCCTCAGATAGGAGCAATCAGGTTTTCTGTTTTCGTTTGTTTGTTTTTTCCTAGAAGGCTCGTTTGCTTGCTAGAGGGAGAGACAGAGAGACAGAGAAAGAGAACAGAAGGCCACCAATTAGGGAATAGGAATGCTACGATGCATTCTCCTCCACTTCTCCATCCTGTCAGGATTTGGGGCATGTGGCTGGCATGTTTCCCGAGCTGTCGGTCTGGAGCCCTTACCGTATAGTCACCCATATGGGATCCGGCTGCCTTAACCACCAGCCCGCCTTCTTTCCCTTTTAAATGTAACTTCTGTTAGTCACTATACACCATTTGTACTTCTGGCTCTGGGACTTAGCCTTTGACACGATCATGTTCAGCAGTAACAGGTTCCTGACCTCGATGCTGTCATCGTGAATTTCACCCTATGTCAGTACTGATGGTTTTCTTCCTTTGATTCGATTTTGGTGGGTATTAATATTGCTGCTGCTTCTAGTAGCTCATGGATTTGCCTGGGGCAATCCTTTGTTGGTATATTTTAACTCTCTCTCTCTTCTTTTTTTAATTGCCATATAACGTGTGTGCTTACCAAAGAGAGAGAAAGAAAGAGACAGAGAGAGAGAAAGAGAAAGCACCCCTGAATGGGGTGGGTCACAAGCACCCCTGATTGTGGTCATGCCACAATCCATTTTCCATTTCTCCATGTTGTTGGATCTGGGGGCACATGCACACACATGTTCCTAGTGTGTTTTTCAAGCCATGAGGGCTAGGATTTGAACAGTGGTTGGTCGTGTGGGACCCCACTCCCTTAACCACTAAACTCTTTTTATTTTGAAACTTTTGGTGTCATTTTGATTGGGAATTTTAGTTGTATTTTGAATTTAGTACCAAAAATAGAATCTTAATCTTGTGACCAGGCAGTGGAAACCATTCACTGTTCCAGCAGCTGCATTTTTCTCCTATGCCATCCTGATTTACTGTACTTTTACTGTTAACCATTGTGGCTGTTTCCTTTGTTTTCTCTGCCTTCACTTATTCTGTGTTTGGAAGGAGACTTTCTTTAAGCTGGTTAAGAGTATTCTTTATTTCCTCTGAATATAAATAAGAGTTGAGACTGAAATATTATTTTTGGGTATTTCCCACTTAAGACAATAAACATTCCTTTCTTGCTGCCTCTCTCCCTGTTTTCAACAACTTCTCGGTTTTTATAAGATTGGTCACTGTTGGGAACCAGCAGTTAGCGTAATGGCTATGTCGCTGGACTCCCACGTAGTCGACCGCGGTTCACGTCCCGGACCCGGTGACTTAAAACCCACGCTGGGCGCGTGTGCGTGCATGCCCAAGATCCCAAGAGAAGAATGGAGGAGAAGGAATTGCGGCATGGCCATCCCCTCTGGGGGGTGATTTCTCGCTTTCTGTCTCTCTGTCTCTCTCTGTCTGGCGAGCACACGTGCCCTATAGTGAAAAACCTCTCAAAAAAAAAAAAAAAAGATTGGTCATTGTTTTCTATTCATCAAATTAGTCATTATTTTTCTTTTTTAGATTTTTTTCATAGAGTGTATGTGCTCATTGAAGAGAGAGAGACAGAAACAGAGAGAGAAAGAAAGGGAAAAATTACCCTCAGGGGATGGCCACGCCACACACAATCCCTCTCCATTCTCCTCCTGGGATTCTGGGCACGCACACACACACGCCCGGCATGATTTTCAAGCCCAGGTCTCCGACTCAGACTGCAGGTGGCAATGTGGGAATCTAGCGCCACACCGACTATGCCACCTACTGGTCCCAGTCATTATTTTCTTTTCTGCATTTCTTTTCAGATTTACAAATTATTTAGACTACATTTTAAAATTATTAGTGGTGCTTGCCATCTGTCCTTTTATATACTATTGTGAAGTTCTAAATTTCCTTTTTCTGTCTCCGTTATTTAGAATACACATTATATTTAAAAGCATGAAGATAATTTTTCTGAGGCCTCCCACAGAGAGGAATGACTTTCTTTAAATACAAAAGACTTAGGTGGGCATATAATGATCAAATCATATCTTCTTCAAGATTCTGTGTGGTTTTATTTTCTTTTGCCTTTTTTAAAAAATTGGGACCAGCAGTTAGCATAATGGCTATGTCGCTGGACTCCCACATAGTTGACCGCAGTTCGAGTCCTGGACCCGGTGGCTTAAACTCATGCTGGGCGCGTGTGTGTGCGTGCCCAAGATCCCGAGAGGAGAATGGAGGAGAAGGGATTGAGGCATGGCCATCCCCCCGGGGGTGGTGATTTCTCGCTTTCTGTCTCTCTGTCTCTCTCTGTCTGTCTGGCGAGCACACGTGCCCTATAGCAAAAACCTCTCCCCCCTCCAAAAAAAATTGCTTTGTTATTATTCAGGTTTTTGTCATAGGGCACCTGTGCTCACTGGAGAGAGACAGAGAGAGGGAAAGTGAGAAATCACATGCTGCAATCCTTTCTCCTCCATTCCCTCTCTGGATTTTGGGCATGCACTCACACGTGCCAGGTGTAATTTTCAAACCGCCAAGTCCAGGATGCCACTCTTTGATTTACGCAGTCCAAGATGTAATTCACCTCTTTGGAGACCACATCCTGTTGCTGAGCCCTAGCACACTTGTAACCTAAGTCCCCAGCTCGTTCCCTGGCTTGGGTGGAGCGACTTGCCCCACTGACCGGGCGCTGGTGATCACCCTTTGACCAACTCATGCCACAGTCTTCTCACAGTCAGCGCCCAATTCATTTGACTGTGAGTCGACAAGTATTTTCCTTCTCTTTCTGAGGTTACCCTAAGGCAGGCCGGCAGTGAGCATCTCTCCACCTCTTCAGACTGTCCTTGTGTCAGGCGAGTGGCTCTGGGATCACATTCATAAACTATCTGAGAGTGGTTTTCAAACCAGTGTGTGTTCACCGATAAAAATAATCTAAATTGATAGGAGGAGTGGGGAAGGGAGTTTAAGGGTACTGAAAATGAGCAGCTAAATCATCTTCCAAAATGGAGAGGTCATAGGAAATATCTGAAATTGATGGATAAGGAAAAAACCTCTCCAAACATATGTATTATCGGGGCTTATAGGGTAGCCACGGAAGAACTAACAACAGAAATGCTTCAAACTGGCAGCCTCTAGAAAGAGGACTTGGAAGAGGGAGACCAGTCCTTCTCATGCTCAGCCCTGTAGTACAATATAGTATTTTACTTTGTATATACTTATTTTTTATAAAAAAAAAAACTGTGAGAGGTATTTGCATAGCAAAATATTGCATAATATTTTCTTTTCTTTTCTTTTCCTTTTTTTGGAGAGGTTTTCGCTATAGGGCGCGTGCGCTCGCCAGACAGACAGAGAGAGACATAGAGACATAAAGCGAGAAATCACCCCCCAGAGGGGATGGTCACGCCGCAATCCCTTCTTCTCTAGTCTCCTCTTGGGATCTTGGGCATGCATGCACACGCGCCCGGCGTGGGTTTTAAGCCACCGAGTCCGGGATACAAACCGCGGTCAACTACGTGGGAGTCCAGCAACATAGCCATTGCGCTAACTGCTGGTTCCCTGCATACTATTTTAGAGTGACGTATGCTACTTAAAAGTTCTGATCAGGGACCAGCCAACGGCATAATGGACGCTGGGCTCCCACGTGGCCAACTGCGGTTTGAGTCCCAGACCCGAAGGCTTGAGACTCACACCAGGCATGTGTGCATATGTGCCCAAGATCCCAAGAGGAGAATGGAAGAGTAGGGCTTATGGTGTAGCCATCCCCCCCAGAGGATGATTTCTTGCTTTCTGTCTATCTGTTTCTGTCTCTTTCCTTCTCTCCGGCGAGCACACACACCCTACAGCAAAAAAAAAAAAAAATCTCTCTCTCTAAAAAAAAAAAAAAAAAGGTCTGATCAAAGGTTAAGGTTTGTAATTATATTTTATAACAGGTTGTCTTCTTGTTTGAGTTTATGCTTTATTTTCATCATTTTGGTTTGGATTTTTTTTTAATCACAAATTGTGACCAAACTGTGAGAGAGTTGAAAAGAGGGAAATAGGAAAAGAAATAAGAACTAGAAAGTCCCCAGTGAATTCAGCTGCCCTTCTCTATCAGTCTATGTACCTTCGATTTTTATGTCCTTCTGGAAAAATTACATTGGAACTCCCTTTAGCACTTCTTCATTTCATTTTTCCCCTTGTAAAAAGGGCAAGAGCTTAATGTGCCGCGGACTAAAGCTGCAGGGGCAGCTGGACACACATGGGCATATGCCCGAGCCTCTGGACAGCTGGCCGGGTCCCACTCGGTTTCCAAAGTACGCAGTCCGGCAGCAGCTGGAGCCCATGGGCAGGTGAGGCAAGGCAAGCCGCAGGGCACATGGTTCTGGTTTAGTGTTTTAAAAAGTAAGAATAATATCCTGATATCAAACTAAAGTATCCTGCTAGTTAACTGTTACCCTTTAACCAAGAAAACAAAAATAAAAACAAAACAAAACCCTTCCTACCCTTCATTAATTAAACTTCTCTAAAAACGAAGGAAGGAAGGAAGGAAAGGAAGAAGGAAGGGAGGGAGGAAGGGAGGAGGGAAGGGAGGGAGGGAGGGAGGAAGGAAGAGAAAATTATCTAGAGGTAAGTCTAAGCTACTCCAAAGCATGGCCCACTCATTAGCAGGTCTCATGGCTTCCCACCCCCAGGCATCCTGTGCTCAGAACCTGCATTGTAACTAAAAACACAGGGATGCATGTGCAGGGCACAGGTTGAAAGTGTAGCTCTACAGTATAGATGAGTGATTCTAGGCTGAGAAAGTTCGAGATGGTGGTTCTCTGCCTTAGTTTAGAAGTATCTGGGTTGCTTAAAACAAATACTGATGGCTGGGCCCCATCCCAGAATAATTACAGCAATCCCTAGGGGCTGTGCCTAGACATGGGTGTGTTTTCCAAGTCCCCCAGGTGGTCTCAATATGAAGCCACAGCAAGGAACGCTGGTTAAGAGAGGCCTACAGCTATTGAGCTCATCGAGGGACAGCGCCTTGGACTGAGACCCTGTCTGTCTCCTCCATACCTCATCTCTTCCTGTCTTAATAATCTTAACAATGTAAAGGAAACTGACGTCAAATCCCCACGTCAAATCCACAGCCATTGACGAGATGGTCCAACTAAGACTTGAATCTTGAGTTGCAAAGTAAATCTTTTTTCATTGGAGAGAGAACCTATTTTTGTGGCCCCCATGAAATGCTAATGGGTACTGCAAAGGCAGAAAATTAAAAGCTGCTGCCTTCAGACACAAACCACTCCAACTGTACCCAGCAAAGCTTTATTCAAATGTGGCTTGAGAGTTTAATCACATGGAAAGCATGGTCACTGGGAAACCAAGCCATCAGATTTCCGAGTTTTATAACTGAGAGACAAAATAAAATAAGGGTTGACAGAAGGTGCGCATGTTTGAAATAGTTTTGCGTGAGCCCATCCGTCGCCACAGCCAAATGTTAGCCTCTTGGGGCATAAATTAATTTACCACATATGCATGCCTGGTTGCGTCTGGATGCTTTGAGGGCGAGCAGTAAGCGTTAGACTTTTGGACAACAGCTTAAAGAATGACATTTCTTCCACTTGCTGTGATTTTTATCCTTGAGCAGAATGTTTTTCTTGGACTGAGTTTCTGGGAGGGTTTGCGGACACAATTCTGGTCCTATGTGCAGGCCCCGAAGAGTGCTTTTATGCACTTATAGAGTGGCAGCTGTCTGCTCTTTACCCAGGGAACATGTGCCCCGGGGAAACACCTTAATGGTTTGTCACATGCTGTTTGCAGCCTGCATGCTAGACCGTACCTGGTACTGCTGCCCGGTGCAAAGGATGAGGTGGTCATAGAGCACGACTTCTCCCTCAGAGAGCACGACGTGCTTGGCCGCTCTGTCGATGCCCGTCATCCTACCAACCACGACGTTCACCCAGGAGCACAATGACATCAACGCGTAATCTTTATCATTAAAACAGTGGCTGCAAAGAGAGAAGCTCCATAAGTGACATTTGAGCAGCTGACAGCAGGCATTAATTAGACATCTGGTGAGCTGGTTCAAGCCCCCTAGTGGGCCAAGTCTGTGCTCTTGCTGCGAGTTTACCAGGACCAGTACTAGGGGATTTTTCGTTATGAAACACTTAGTCACAAATTGATGTCTCTTCCCATTAAAGCTAAATTGCTCCACCTGGCTTAGGCTAGTCCACAACAGGGAGGGCTCTGTGTGTGTGTGTGTGTGTGTGTGTGTGTGTGTGTGTGTGTGTTCACTATAACACAAGGGGGCTCCAAAAAAAGTTTGTGGGGAAATGAATTAAATACGTTTATTTGAGTGCAAAACAAATTTGAAATGTGTGCATCGTATTTTCACAATATGCATTTTCTATGAACTGTCTGACGACCCTCTTGGACCTACTCTTTCTTCTGACTGTATTTCATGGTGGTTGTAAATTTGCATTAGCTGCTGAATAGCCACAGTGACCACTGACTCAAAGGGAATGAGAAAGAAGAAAGTGACATCGTTGAGGATTTTCAAGGGTAAAGGTCAGAGTTCTAGAATATTAAGAACCTTTCTTGTTTGCTAATACTCTTCAATGAATGACTCGGAATTAATGGATAGCTTTGTGCTAAAACCACAGAACAGCAGAACAGATTTTGTTTAAAGAAGATGTCTAGGGAGTTACATTTGTAGCAAGTACATTCCTTGGTGGCTTTGGGGTTTATGGTGCAGAACAGAGGTGACCTGTAGGGAACTGGTTCTTCCATGAACACCAGGTCCAGAGTGGATGTTACCATGTGGCTGCAAGGGCCAGCTTGTGGTGTGGAGGTAAAGGCAGCTGGGTCCCACTAGCTGCTGAGTCCTGGACCCAGCAGCTTTACCAATCATGCCAGGCACATGTGCATGTGCGCTCAAAATCAGGAAGTGATCGCAGCACCGTTATCCCCGGGGGTGATTTCTCACTTTTCCTCTCTCTCTCTTTCTCTCTCTCTAGCAAGCACTTGTGCCCTATAGCAAAACTTAAAAAAAAAAAAAAAAAGGAAAAGGAAAATGAAAATGAAAAAAAAAAAAGATACAAAAAGATACTGTGGCTTCAGGGCACTGGTAGTTATATAGAATTTAATTTTCTGAGTTCCATTTGGGTCTGAGTTCTCTCCTACATAATGTGACAAGAGTGGGGTGGTTTTTTTGTGGCCTCGGGTTTATTTAAAGAGTTTTAGGGGGGCCAGAAGGTGGCATGGTTGTTAAGGTGCTAGACTCCCACATGACAGACTGAGATTTGAATCCCAGACCTGATGTCTTGCTTTCTCACTTTCCTTTTCTCTCTCTCCAGGAAAATTAAAAATAATAATAATAATAATAAAGGAATAAAATAAATAATTCTTCTTAAAGAGCTTCATGAGGACTCTTTCCAGATTTTTCTGAAAGTGTGACATTGTATAAATGATCTTGTTTATTTATTTCTTCTGTGAGTGAGAGGGAGAGAGAGAGACAGAGAGAGACAGGATGTGGATGCCAAGACTCACTGTCTCAACCAGCCCTGGATCAGAGGCACGTGTGTGCCTGACACACTCAGAAGGGCTCTAGACAGGAATCTAGAACTTTCCTGTGCCAGTCAGCTTGCAGAGTGTTGCATTTTACCACTGTTCTACTATCTGGTCCCAGAGACCTTTTTTTGTTTGCTTGTTTGTTTTGTTTTACGTTTTTGGTTCTTGCCATAGGGCACACGTGCTTGCTGGAGAGAGACAGAGGGAACGAGAGAGAGAGAGAAATCACTCCCTACGGGCGATGGTCACACTGCAATCCCTTCTCCTCCATTCTCCTCTCAGGACTCTGAGCACACACTTATACACATCTGATGTGATTGTCAACCCACCAGGTCCAGGATTCGAACCACAGTCAGACATGTGGGAATCCAGCACTTTAATCACCATGCCACCTGCCTCCCTCCCGGCCCCCATGACTTTTTTAAAGATTCTGCCCTGCAGACTAAGAGTCTAAGGTGATAGAACGGAAGGGTCTCATTGAAATTTCAGCTGCAGGATCATTTCAGAATGAATTGCGCCATGGCTTGTATCTCTGCTCTTTCCCCCCATGAGCCTAGACCCTGGGGATTCAGCATCTCCTTAATACTCTTCAATTTGCTCACCTCTCAACACAGAGTAATGGGCCCTCCGACATATTTCGACCATCGTAAGGAATGAAAATACGTGTGTAGGAGATGCTGTTTTGTCAAGTGGGATGCATATGCAAAGAGCATTACTCTAAATAATATTAATGATACATAATCCTGTTTACGCTCTTTGGAGGCAAACAGGATTCTGAAGTGGTAATGGGAGGACATTTTTTTCTTTTTGATCCACACATGAGCCTGTTCTCACCATACAAAGAGAATTCCAGTAATGGATGTACATTAGACCCCGCCACGGGGCCTGTGAAAGAGATGGGAGCTCTGTGCTTTGTGTCTCTCTGCGAAACAACACTTAAAACCAAGAAAATGTCTTCTTAATAAGAACAGAAAATCAGGGGTTGGCTTGTCACCGGAAAATAATGGAGAGTGAAATGAAATTCTCTTTTAAAACCCATTTTGATAGCTTTACAGGAATACAGGAAACTTTATTGATTCTGTATATTCATGAGAGAGCCACAAAGGATTTTGTTATTTGTCATCTAGCCCCTACTCTAAGCCGCCCAAGAGGAGGACAAATTAAATATAGTTAGTGCGCAAGGATTAGTCTTATGAGGATTTGGCTGAAGATAAAAGGTCTTGGGGGAAATTTGCGGAAGGCCCAGACAATGCGATTTTTAATGACCATAGGGCAGTGGTGTTGATAATGTCAGACTGCATATTTCAGAAGTAAAATTTGAAACTCTGTCCAGTGGAAACTGATACTTGGGTACACTGGATGTTTAGGAACCTTTACTCAGTGCAAAGGGAAGTACTGAGGAATGGGGGTGCTTGCTTTTACAGTCTGGAAGCACGCTGCATGGACATTATCAGCTTAGCACACCACTGTGTAAGTGAGTTCTGTCTATTCTGGACATGACCATCCATTCTGACCTCCTCTAACTTCCCTTCCAGGTGAGCAAAACTACACATTGGAGTCTGTAAGTGATATTTTCCCAAAATAACTTCCTAAGCAGAGTTAATAAGCATTAAGCATTTAACATATCAGGGACTGTCTCATGATTTGGTGATAAAAGAAAGACCTCCCCTAGGGTCCTCTGGAAAAGGGACAACCCAGAAGGGGCAGCAATGGAACTTCATGTGACCCCTGATTCAAAAATAATGTGCATTAGGTGTCTTCCTAGGGAATTCTGGAGGCAGATAATGTGAAAGATTTCAAAAGCAGAAATGGGGCCAGCCATGGTGTAGTGGTTAAGGTGCTTGGATCCCACAAGGCCAACTGTGCGGTTCAAGTTCTGGTCCCAAAGGCTTGAAGAACACACCGAGCCTGTGTGTGTGTGTGTGTGTGCACGTGTGTGCTCACACATGCCCAAAATCTCAAGAGACTAATGGAGAAGGGATTTCAACATGGCCATCTCCCTTCCGCAGGGGTGGTTTTTCACCCCACACCCCACCCACCTCTCTTTGGCAACTTCACACGCTCTATGGCCAAATTAACATTAAAATAAAAAACAAAGCAGAAATGCAAGATGGGGAAATTTCTGGAAAAGGACATCTATAAGGAGTGGCAGCTTGCTCAGGGTGGTCAGAGACTCAGCCAAAGCTCCAGAAGCACAATTAGAAGCAAACTCTGGGGGCCACAGATAGTCAGGGGCAACCTGGAATCAGAACTCTTCAGAGCTGGGAAGAAAACCTTAGCGCTTTTCATAAAGGAATAATTGTGACATTATTAGAAGCAGATCTATCACAATTAACTTTTAATTATTCAGGGCCGATTGTCCAATTAGTGGATTTCTCCTGCTTCCTGTTTCCCCTCCCCTGCCACGGCCTTCCCGGCTGCATCCTGGGCATGTCATTAGCACCTCCACCAGAGTTGGCCAGGGTGGGGGGAAAGAAGACAAAAGCAGGTATTTGAAATGTAATTACAATAATAGTAAGTCAAAACACTGGCTAAGGACAAGCTCACAATTAGCATTGAGAACAAGGAGTTTAAATGATTAAATTTATGGATGTCATTTGCACTCATTATTTTAAACTCCAGGATCAGAGGTGATTTCCCTTTTTGGGGTATGAGGACAATTTGAAAGGCAAGATCCTATTACGGTTCTGTGGTTTCCAAGAATTATGGTAACATGCAGTTCCCCATGCAAAGGGACTGGCTGCATTACTTAGCCTTCACCCACTGCTGGACCGAGAGGACTTTGGTAGGTAGTTTTGGAGGTAACTTTCATCTAGTCCACATTATTTACTGAGCATTTGCTGTGTGCCCAGAGGCTAGGGTTGATATTATCAGTGAACAAAAAGGCAACAAGTCTGGCCTTTACGGAGTTGAGGGATCTGGAATACAGTATAAAGAATAAACATAGGAGCCAGCAGGTGGTGTGGTGGTTGGAGCACTGGACTCCCACATGGCCGACCATGGTTTGAATCCTGGACATGGCAACTTGCTTTCTTGCTCTCCCTCTCTCTCTCTGTCTCTCTCTGGTCAGAAAGAAGAAGAAGAAAAATAAAATAAAATAATTCTTAAAAAAAGGATAAACAATTTTCAAAGGCATATTATATAAGACTTAGAAAGAGTTCAATAGCCAGAAAAAAATAGGGAAGAGTAAGGGGAATAGGGGTGGTTGAGATGTTGGTTACAAATGAACGAGCTGGAAGTTACAAATGGACCTCATGGAAGAGGTGACATTTAAGAGAAAAAAAGCATCTGGGGGACCAGCAGTTGGAGTAATGGCTACATCGCTGGACCCCCACGTAGTCAACCACAGTTCAAGTCCTGAACCTGGTGGCTTAAACTCACGCCAGGCGCGTGTGCGTGCGTGCCCAAGATCTCGAGAGGAGAATGGAGGAGAAGGGATTGTGGTGTGGCCATCTCCCCCGGGGGGTGATTTTTTGCTCTCTGTCTCTCTGTGTCTTTCTGGCGAGCACATGTGCCTGGCTAATGTGATTAAGCAGCTAGATGTCTTATGTCATTTAATTCAAATGCATTTACATTTAAAAAGCCTCATGTGGCTGGTAGTCACCATATTTGACAGTACAGTTCTGGCCTGTAAGGAGTTGACATGAGCTGAGTCACCATTTTTTGTGTTTTTTTAAGTGTTTGTTTGTTTGTTTGTTTTCCCATTATATGTACTCACCAGAGAAAGAGACAGAGACGGGGAAAGTGGGAAATCACTCCTTGAGGGGATGAATTTCTTTAAATTCAATGATAGAGCAATCCCGTCTCCTCTAGTCTCCTCTCAGGATGTTTTGGGGCGCACATGTACATGCACATGCACTTGGTTGTGATTTTCAAACCACCAGGTCCAGGACCCAAACTGCAGTCAGCCATGGGAGTCCAGCACCTTAACCACTACCCCAGCTTCTGGTCCCTGGGTCAGTTCCACAGTGTGCTCTGGTTTCTGCTTTGCAAGTACACAGGGTTCAGGACAGCGCAGACCCCTCAGCGACTTCTCCATCCAGCCCCTCCATCTGCTGACAGTACCACAGCCGGGGAAAGTCAGTCACGGCCATTCTCTCCTGTAACACACCCACCACGGGTTGACAAATATGGCTACCAAGATGACTGGATTACACTCCTCTTCAGATATCTATCACTAAACCAGCACTTCCTGGGAGTCACGTAGTTGAGAAAAGGGAAAGGGAGAGAAGGGATGTCCGTGTGCTGATCCTTGACTTTTGGCCAGAGCTTGGTGTTGTGCTCACTTTTAACAAAAAAGTCCAGCATGCTTGGCTGAGCATATACTTTTCACAATAAAAGTAAGGAAAGAAAAGAAAGAGAGAGAAGAAGAAGAAGGAAGGAAGAGAAAGAAAGAAAAAAGGAAGGAAGGAAAAGCTCAGAGAAATGAAGCCCCTGGCCCAGACTTTAGGAGTGGGGCGCGGAAGCTGAATCTGCACGCTCCTGGCTCAACACTCACTCTCTTTTCACTGAACTGCAATGGTCTCCTTAAAAAAAAAAAAAAAAAGTCTGATAAAAATCGTAGGTCAGAATGAGCTCAGGACTGCAGGCAATGAAGCTGTGATTTTTCTCACCATGTGGAAGCAAAGCAAGGCTTTTTCACAGAGAAAAGAGGGTCCTTTCATCACAGATTCTGAAACGAACCACCTCGGAGAGAACAGTTTTGTTTTTCCTCGTTGGTGAAATTGGGAGATTGTTTCTAGAGCAGGGGGCCTAATAGTTCTTGTAGCTATGTTTCACTATAGGAAATTAGAATTCATGAAGGCTGAGTAATAATTAAATGGTATTTTCTAGAACAGATATTGTCAAATAGGTGATTCTATTGGGACAAAAACAATAAGCTTGTGGGGACTGGCTGGGAAGGTCTCTGCCTGACAGCCCCTGAGGACAAATGGTGGGGGTCAGGGTCAGGATGAGACCCATGCCCCAGTGAGGTACCTTGTCAGATGCAAATGCAGTCACTGAGCTCCACTGTCCTGCAGTGTCACTCAGAACTTGACTGCTGGGGTGACTGGGTCTGCAGGTTCTGTGCCATCTGTTTGGAATAGGGCACGTGACTTCCTACAGATAAGAAATGGTGACCCCCGCCTGCCGCCTGCCCTTCTTGGTATTTCACCTGTCAACAGGACTGTGCTCGCATCTCTTAGGTAACACCCAAACTCCAGGAGAATCCCCTTCCCGATCTGAAATCTACTGTTCAGCGTAAAAAAGACTGCACAGAAATTAGGATATTAAGTCTCAGAATGCAAAAGCAGATAGAATTCATACTCGGTGGCTAAAAACTTCCTTTGTTCAGCACCCAGAAGTTTCTTTCCTGGGAGTCCGTGAGTTGAAATCAGGGTGAGATGATTAAACTTCAGATGAGAGCTAAGGAGAAAGAAAACAGGGAGAAGAACAAAAAGAGGTTAGGCACGATTTAGCGACAGTTTATTATAAATCAGCTTAATTTGATGTCATGTGTCATCCCATTGTTGAATTGTTCTGTGAAGCTAGCAACGCCTTTTCATATAAAACTTCAAATATGTAGCACCAATCGTTTAAATGAGAAAAGGAAGATGGCCAGCTAGTTGCAGAAACTTCCAAAACTGCACACAGTAGGGACTGCCATGGTTTGTTTGCTTGTTTATTTACTTATGTTTTAGAAAGAGATTTTTGCTGTAGGGTGTGTGTGGTCGCCAGAGAGACAGGAAGCAAGAAATCACCCCCCGGGAGATGGCCATGCTGCAGTCACTTCTCCCCATTCTCCTCTCAGGACTTTGGGTATGCACGCACACATGCCTGGCATGAGTTTAAACTGCCAGGTCCAGGACTCCAAGCATGCTCGACTACATGGGAGCCCCGCGATGTAACCATTATGCCATCTGCTGGTCTCTATTTATTTATTTTTTAATTTGCTTCTCAAAGTAAAACACAATAAACCCCCCCAACTGGGAGGAGGGAGGCAAATTTAGTATAAATTAATGCAAAGTTAGACTGCTTCTAAGAAACCACCTAGAATCATAACCACCACAGTTAAACCTCATTGAGGGCTTACCATCAAACACCTACTACCTTATGTAGTCTTCGCAGCAATATGAGACATCAGTAATATTATCGTTTGTATTAGGTGGAACACAGGTGAAGCAAGGCTATACAACTAGTAAGTTCAGAAGCAGGGTTTGAACCCAGGCTGTCTAGCTCAGAGTCCTTTCACCTAACCGCTGCCTCTACTGCCCTGCAGACCTCAATCTACTAGGAAGAATCCAAATACCATCTAATTTCCATTAGTCAGCATTGGTCAACATTAGTTTCACTACTTCTAAATATAGATGATTACTCCATCAGGATACCAAAGTATCATCTAGTAGAAAATTCTAGACAATTCCTTTTTCAAAGCAAAACTGCCTCTTATCTACACGAGCTTTCCAGTGCCTGAGGTGCAGTCACAAGCCTGATCACAGAGATGAATCTTCCAGACTATTGGTGTTGGGGCCCGAGGTGACAGATCTGTGTTATCTGTATTTCCTATACAAGAAAATCAAGGTTGGAAATGGTACGTGTAATCATTTGTTCAGGGTCATAAAGTTCACTAGCTGAGGGCCAGGAATAATATCTGGGCCTTCTCACCCAGGCATACCCCCTCCAGTCACCCACGCCACCCTCTCATAGTCCTGTAAACCAGGACTACGAGTGATTTTTTTGTTTAAGTTTTTGCCATAGGGTATATGTGCTCTCCAGAGATAAAGAGAAAGTGAAGAAATCACTCCACAGGGAGGATGGCCCCACTGCAATCCCTTCTTCTCCATTCTCCTCTTAGGATTTTGAGCACTCATGCACATGCACCTGGAGTGATTTTCAACTTGCTGGGTCCAGGACTCAAACTACATGGCCAACCACGTGGGATCCAGCCGCCTTGACCTCTACACTACCTATTGGTCCTCTGCAAGTCTTTTTTTTTTTTTTTTTCCGAGAGAGATTTTTTGCTACAGGGTACCTATGCTCACCGGAGAGACAGAAAAACAGAAAGCAAGAAATCACCCCCCACCCCCAGGAGATGGCTATATGCTGCAGTGTTGCAATGCCTTCTCCTCCAGTCTCGCGGGATTTTAGGCATGCATGCGCACACGCACCTGGTGTGAGTTTTAAGTTCCCAGGTCCGGGACTCAAATGGCAGTCTACTATGTGGGAGTCCAGCAACGTAACCATTATACCATTTGCTGGTCCCACTCTGTGAGTCACTTAAAGTAGCATGCCCATTGAGTGCGAATGGGGCCTTCTGAAGAACCGACACACTTAAGACTCACTCTGTCCTTCAGTGTTTCGAATACTCCTGCTGCAAATGTGCCCTCTGGTTCGAGTCAGCAAAACTTTACGGGGTGAACTGATCTTTTCATAGGGTTCAGGTTGCTCACTCTGTCCTTCAGTGTTTCAAATACTCCTGCTGCAAATTTGCCCTCTGGTTCAAGTCAGCAAAACTTTACGGGTGAACTGATCTTTTCATAGGGTTCAGGTTGATAAGAAAGAATTTTTTTATTTTCTGAAGTTTCTTCTTGGTTCACACATGCCCTTCAATCCACCAAGTGCCAAAAAAGAGGCCTTCACCGAGTCAGAGGAAAACACCTGCCCTCCTTCCCCGTGAGGAGACTGGAAATGTTCAAAGGTGGAAATGCTATGAACTTACTGACGATTCGTTAAGTAGCACTGAAACAGGAGACTCTGGTGATGGCATGGGCTAGCAATGCAATAAACTCAGCGGTACCTGACATTTAAAAATAGCTAAATATTATGAAAGGTTTTGCTCTAAAATCTCCAAGGATGGGTATCACTTAAAAATGAATATTCTTATTTCAGATGAAAGCCAAGCACATTTTATCCTCTAATAAGAAGAATGAAAATTCTGAATATCTTCAAATAACATAAAGGTCACAATTAACCCCAGCCACTGGCCGCCGCTCTGCAAGCGCATACTGATGACAGACCTTTGATTTATCACCATTTAAGGCAAAACACGCATAGTGATGATATGTGTTTATGCTCACATGTACTTAACATTTATCCTGGTTTCAACCTCCTACTAGATGAAATGTGGGAATTTCAAAATGTTTGTGGAAACAGCATAAAAGTAAGAGTATATTTTGGAGCAAAAAAAGTTTGAAATCCATGTATGACTTTTTTCATAATACACATTTTTCCGTTAACTTCTTCTTTTTTTTTTTTTTAAGAGGTTTTAGACTTAGGGCACATGTACTCTGGAGAAAGAGAGACAGAAGCAGTGAGAGGGCAAGTGAGAAATCACCGTTCCCTGGGGGGATGACCACACCACAAGCTCTTCTCCTCCATTCTCCTGGGATCTTGGGCATGCACACACACATACACACCATGTGAGATTTTCAAAGCACCGCATCTGGGACTCGAACCATAGCCGGCCGTGTGGGAATCCAGTGACATAACCACTATGCTACCTGCTGGTCCCTCCATTAACTTTTTGAAGACCTCTCTTATAGGTTCTTTTTACATTTCTCTGTAAACAGAAGGCTCAGTAATTTTTCATCTTTAACTATAAAATAATCCCTTTGGTACTGAATAATTTCAATGACCTAACGTGGATCATATGGTTTGTGAATTGCCAAATGACTACCTTGTATTGCTGTAAATTATGCTATGGTACAATTTAAAATATCCCCAACAGGACAGCAGTTTTATCCATAATGGTACAGTACAGAAATTTTTAGATGGGGGGGGGGCGTTTTCTGGATGTTTATATGGGAAAGAACCAGCTGTTCATTCCTTTGCTTCAGCCCTAGTCAAATCCTTTTGCATCTTCAGTATGTCTGTTCTGGTCCTTTACCTGCCTTTATCTCCCACTGGGAGCTGTCTTACTCTCCCTTCTATCCCTCTTCTTCACTCTTGAGTGAGCACAGCTCCCACATCCTAAGGAAAACACAGATTAGCAGCAGGCTTCCTGTTCCCCTTCTTGCCACATCCAGACACATCTACAAGAGTGTGTTTCCATTTCCCTGACTCAGAAGAGAGGTGTCTCCCCTTTAACTCCATCTGCCTTTCAAGTCTCAATCTCTAGGCTAGTGAGTTTCTCATGCAATTACTTAAGAAACCTAGAAGTAACCAGTCTAAAGCCGAGAAGGTAGATCCATGAGGCCGACAGGGGCCCTGCTCCTTGGCTTCCCCATGTGTAGCTTCCACTGTCAAGGTCAAATCCAAGGAGGCTCCCAGAGCCTCGGCCATCACATCCATGACAGAGGCATAAGGAAGGAGGAACCGAGTAGAAAGGGCTGCCGAGGAAGGAGCCTTCCTGAGAGTCCCCCACAACGTTTCTGCCTACATTGCCAGAGCTCACTGACGTGGCCACGCTGAGCACCAAGGGCAGCTGGAAACTGTAGGTGTTTAAAGAAAAACACAGCGTTTTATCAAAGAAAAACACACTGGTTTATTAAAGAAAAACATAGCGGTTTTTCAAAGAACTACACTGTGTAGGGCTCGGCTACCAAGGACAAAGTACAGAAGGAATACAGAAGGCAACCAGAAGTCTCTGCTCATGGCTTCTCACAAAAGGAAGGTGAAATTGGGATGGGAGAGATTCTTACTGATTAGGATCCAGGCCAAAAAAAAAAAGAAGAAGAAGAAAAAGAAAGAAAAGAAAAGGCAGTCTCCCTGAGACTGGACTGAGGTAGAACTATGTGCAGAGTTGCAGGAGCAGAGAAAGGATGTGGAGTCATTCAGGGATGCATTACTGACCCTAAGCCTAGTGAAGCCCAGGATGGAAGAGATGGTGAGAGCTGGGGCCAGGGTGGAAGCGTCTCCCAAGAGCTATGGCCATAGAACTCACACTGTGCCAGCCCTGTTGCAAGGGTCTTTTTTATGACTGTCTTTGACCAGCTCCTTCCCCCTTGTCCATGCATCCCTTGCCAAGCTTTCCAAGCTCATCTCCCTGGGTGATGTTACCTTTCGCCATGACTTGACCTTCTTCACCGTAGTGCTGTACTACACCACAGTGTTTCTTCTGAGCTGCAAGTCTAACTTCTAAACGCCGATCACTACTGATGGGGATGCTCCAGGGGAATCCGAAATTCAGTATGTGCCCAAACAAAGCTTTCTAAAGCCTCATCTCACTCCTCCTTTCCGTCAAAGCCATGGCCAAGGAACCACAGGCCAAGCTAGGAGTTTGGAAGCCGACCTCACACTCTGGCCCCCTTCCTACACGGGTCCAACCACTCTCGCCTGGTTCACTTCTCCCAAATGCCTCCCACCTGCCATTCTCTGGCATGTGGCTTGGCATACCATCTTGTCTATAGGATTAGTTTCCCTGGCACAAATCTTCTCTCCTGCCCTTCTTCCACACAACAGCTGGAGACCCCTTTTGAAATGAAATA